ACAATAACCAATTAATTTTCTAGCTATTGAACAACCTACTAAGCATTAGATAGATTTAATCCAATAACAACATTAAGATGAGAAAGATAGGTGAAGCTAAGCCACCTTCCTAAGCGTTAGAGAAGATGTAATCTAATTCTATGTTTTTCAAGGAATTGAACAAAAACATCATAATCATCAACCATAGCTACTACTATAAGTAATTTTAGACAAGCAATTACACGGACTTAAATACTTAGCTAGCAATAAGTAAATGATTAAATAAATAATGTGCACTCTAATTGAATTAATCCTACAACTATAAACCAATCATGTAGAAAAATATAAAATACCCAATAAAAATAAGTTTAGAAATAAAATTAGTAATTTCATAGTAATTAACCAAAAACTTCAACTTGATTCAACAAAGAATAGATTTTAGTTGTTCATAATGTATTACAAAGAGAATTTCTATTAAAGGGGGCTATAGAAGAGTTGGAAGAGAAGAGAAACAAATAATACCCTAGCTTTAGTATTTATACCTAAAACTAGGGTTACATCACGTAAATGTCAACATCACATGGCTATACGGCTTATTACATAAAGTCATATGGTTTGTTATTGATATCACATGGTTTGAAGCCTTGAAAATTAATTGTTACACGGCTTGCTTGCTAAGACACACGGTTGTATAACTTTATTCTTGATTTTATGTAGCCAAGCTTCTACCCGTGTAGATTCCTTCTACAACTCGTGTTAAGTTTCTTCGCTCGTGTAAACCTTCTTTTTCGTAGAGACACGAGTATGTGGCTTTACACCGCATACGGTGTAAGAAGCCTACTAATCGTATAGCTTTCTTATCTCTTTTTATTTTGCTAGCTTCAATCACCCACATGACCATGTGGAATACTTCCTTTGGGTGTATGGAAATGGTTCTCGCTCATGTGGCTTGCTATGCTTAAGACTCACACGGTTTTCTCCTTTAAGTCACATGGCCGGTAGCTATTTCCTTGGTTATTTCACACGACCTTATGACTCTTATAATCCTCTTTGAATTTTCTTTCTTTTCTCCTTAGGTTTTGGGCTTCCATGTTCCGATTCATCATTTTTCCTACAAAACTTAAAACCGTCATCTTATTTTTAAATAACATAATATAATACAATAAGTGCTAAAAATTTCAATGTAATAGAGCATAAAAATTATGCTAATTATGCACTCATCACTAGGATAGGATTTTTTTTCATGAATAGTATTTCTTGTCTTTAAGACACTCTTTTTAATTTTGACACAAATACAAACATTTATGATGCATGTACCCAGTTATTCAATAAGTCACACACATAAAAGGTGTTTTTTACATACTCATATTTCAAGTTGTCATTTGGCGTAAAATTAAACATTAGTGATGCCTACCCCTAGTTACTAAGCAACTCAAAACATTGGAGTAGATAGGAATTTCGTAATATTCAATTATTTCATTCAATTGCTCATAACCATACTATTTACTTAAGCCATCTTAAGACTAGTTTAAAGGAAATACTTACAAAAAAAGTATCACACTCATATTTTATGCATAGTCACACAATTCACATAATTGTACAAAGAACATTTTTTTAATGATCTTAAAAACTCAAGCATGCTTAATCTCACTTTATAAGATATTGCATATACTAAATCAAAATTTCAATATTTAAGTATGATGAGGAACCTAAGAATATGTTTGTTTGGGAGAAAAAAAGTTCCGGGAACTTGTTTTCCTCACTTTCTCTCATTTTTTGATATTTATTTCATGTTTAGAAAAAAGTTAATGGAAAATGATTTTTCGATCAATGAAAAATGATAGTCTTTTTAGAAAAGTGTTTTTCGAGTTAAAAAAAAAAGAGAAAAATATTTTTACTTTCTCTCACAAACTATCTTGCTCTCGCGTTATTCATCTCTCCTTTGATATATTTTAACAATCTTTTTCTCTGTCTCCTTTTTCTTTAAAATACATAAAATTAATTTTTAATTATTTCTTATCAATTATTATTAATTATTTAATTAGTTTTCTCTATTTCTACTAACATTTGATTTTTTGATTTATAAATATATTAAATATTCTTAAAAACTATTTTTATACCTTAAAATTATTTTTATAATAAATATTTCAATAATTTATCTATATATTTTTTTATTATTATCCCAACCATCACCTAAAATGTACTTAAATGATTGAAAATGATTATTATACGACTGTAATCATTTGTGAAAAAAATAAAACTAATTAATTCATTAATAAATATATTATTTTCTTAACAATATTCATTTGTAACTAAATTAATAATTTGTGACTAATTTTAATCGAGTTGTAAAATTTTATTAGTAATTGTAGTCAATAATTAGTTACAAATTATTCCAACATTAATCTTTTGAAACCAAATAAATAATTTTCTATAAATAATAACGAACAATTTGTAAAACTACTTTTTATACTAAATTATCGGTTCAATTTCTAAAAAAAATGAATTATTAATTGAGTTACCAAAATAATAGTGCTAGGATTACTTAATTTTTTTTTTTTTTTACTAAATGTGAATATTGACATGATTTGTCCTAAGTAGTTTTGATGAATTAGTTTAATCGTTAAAAATGTATATTTTATTTTTTGAATTTAAATCTTAGAGTCGGTATATATAAAAATTTATTAAATTTTTCTAAATGCATCTTATATTATGAAATTGTGAATATGCCTTGTTGAAGTTTTCTCAAAACTCGTTGATGTAACAATCACAACCTCGTTTTTGTATTTTAATTTTTTGTATCAAACAAATATTAGAATATATTTTTCAGTAGTTTTCATGTAATTGCTAAACATCGGAAAATATTTTTTGGAAAACTTTTTAAAAAATAGCTTCTCCGAATTGATTTTCCTATGGAAGTTATTTTTCACCAAATAAATGGAGCCTAAAAGTAAATTTTGAATCCAAATAACAAGTTCATCTTTCTAATCTTACACACACACACACACACACACACACACACACATATATAACAAGGATAAGCCAAAGGTGCATAATTTTTTGAAAAAAATACACCTAACAATTAAACAAGCATAAGAATTAATCAACCACCACCACCCGGAGGCGCAAATCTATACATTATCCTCAATGTGAAAGAAAAGAAGAAAGAAACAATAATATTCAACCTAGTTTATTGCTCCATGTGCTCGAACATGTAAAACACAACTAAAAGAAAGGATCGAGTCATGATCATATTTATTCAAAGACCAGAAGAAAACAAGTAAATAAAAATAACAAAAGTGAAGTGAAAAGAGAGAATTGTAAAACTTGGGTTTTCTCCCAAAAAGTGCTTGTCTATCACACAATCAACCATAGTTAAGATCTTGCCAAGAATATGTCACTTCCTTAGACGCTAATAAGATAGGGCTTTATACATTACTCATCTACCTTAAATGTACTAGTGACCTCAACTGCACTATATGGATATACTTTTGCCGCCATGAATGGACCAGACCACCTTGACTAAAGTTTTCCTATGAATAGCTTAAGTCGTAAATTGAAGAGTAGCAATCGTTGTCCAACCTCAATTTTTTTTTTCTTTTTTTCTGAATATGCTTATTATGCCAATACTTGGTCTTTTTCTCGTAAATCCAAAATCTTTTATAAGCATCCAACCCAAACTCCTCCAACTCACTCAATTGGAACAACCTCTTTTCTTCCGCAGCCTTTAAATCTATGTTTAGTTCTTAAATTGTTCAATAGGTGTTATGTTTCAATTCAACTAGTGAGTGATAAGACTTTCCAAAGATAAGTCTATATGGAGACATGCTTAAGGTTGTCTTAAAAACTATCATACATGCATCATCTAGCTTATTCACCCAATTCTATTTTGAATTGGCAACAATTTTTTTTCTAAAATAGCTTACTAATTATGTTTGCTTATTTGTCTGTGGACTAGTTGGTGAATCAGCTATCAAGAAAACTCCATACTCATATAAATCATTTACATCATCTTTATGTACATAAAAATAAAATAAGGTTTGAGGATTTCAAGTAGTAGAAACAAAAGTGAAAAAAAAAAAAAAATTTAATATCTTGATACGAAATTTGGTAGAAACGAAATAATAAGAGGACCCCCCGCCCACGCACGAGACTCCCATCAGTTATCATCTGGTAATCAATTTAGTTTTCCGCCTTGGCACAAGAGTCCGTGTTGTCGTGCATCCATTGGTTGAAACAATTTGGCCCAGCTCACAAATCCAGTGACAACCAATCAGAAATTGAGAAACACGTCTATAATTTATTAGCAGCAAAAACCCACGCATCTGTGTAACGTTAATGGTTTTGTCTGGAAAACCTCAAAATCCGTCCTCACAACTGTATATGATTTCTCAAACTACCAATTTTGTCAATTGAGTCCCCCACTTGTCCATCTTACCTCAATCAAATCCTTTTAAAAATAAATAATTAAAGAAAACATTAACTAGTGCATGCTAGTCGTATGTGTTCTAACTAATCCTCGCTTTTTCAAGTCTTAAGTTCAAAAATATCCAACAATTTCTTTTTTAATTTAATACAAACTAGTAACAACTAAACCATAATTAAGATAAATTTATATTCAGACTGCTCGTGTTGGTTTTTTTGCAAGTACTAGATGAAAGAGAAATAGAGTATTTTTGCATCTAAGGCTTGAGAAAATTAGAGTGACTAGCACATGCATTGATTAACGTCATCTTCAACGATATCAACAGAAGGATCTGATTGAGGAAAGGTATACAAATGTGGGACCCAAATGATAAACAATAAAAAATTGGTATATAGCCGGGGACTAATATGCGGTCTGCCCTAGTTTATAACACAATTTATTTTAGTACTTGCCGAAGACCTGAAGCTAAAATTCCACGGATCAGCTAAAATCTGCGTTTGAGGAGAGGTCTCGGTCTGTTTTGCAGCTAATATATACACTTCCACGAAAGAAAAAGGAACTTTTGTGTTTCTTCAAATAAGAGAGAGGAGGAGCTATGGCATTGATCAAGCGGACGCTAGTTGTTTTGGTGACAGTATTGGTAGTGTCAACATGGATGCCAGTCTCTGAATGTGCAAATACAAAAAAGCCTGTTAGTGTTGCAAGAAAAGATGATATACCGTACATCAAATGCCAGGTTTGTGAAAAGGTTGCCTCACAGTTGTACCAGCAAGTTCAAAAGAAGCAGGATCAGATCTCTCCCAAGAAGGTACTAAGTCCAACAAATTCTGCGAAGTGGGTTTTTTTTTTTTTTTTCTTTTATGGTTCTGTTGGATTTGATTTTTAAATAAATTCTTGCTTTTTTTCTTTTTTCTTTTTGGTGTTATGATAGATCAGTGAGCATCAAATGATTGAGATTGCGGAGAATGTTTGCAATTTGAAGAAAGAGGAAGCTGATTGGATTATGAAATTGGATATAGTGGAGCAAGGTGATAAGTTGAAGGTATGATAGAGTTTTTTTTTTTTTCCTTATTTATATGCATTTTCATAGAATCTCAATCTGGATCAACTTCTGTTTTATTTTTTTTATCTTTGTTTTGGGATGTGTGTGTAATCGAAGATGGCTTCACAATTCATAAACTGCAATCATATTGGTCAATGGAATAGGCCTCATGGCTACTACATGTACAGATAAATGGTAAAAAATTGGCATGGTAACCCTGAATTTTTTTTTTTTTTTTAAATTTATTTGTAGCTAATAGAACAAGATACGGAAGGTCAATGCAATTCAGAATGCAAGACAATCGAGCAAACTTGTCAAGAGGTGAGTTTGGTTACTGACATTATATTGAGAGCTTTTTTGGAAGTCAGTTTGATTGGTGACTCTGTCTATTCGCTGGACTGTGGAAGTTTAGAAATTGACCTGCTGACAATTTTCCTAAAATTACGACTGGTTATATTTTTGGACGATACTCCATTGCTAAATTTCAAACAATTGCGTATCTGTTTGTGGGCTTTGTAGGTCATGGACTATGTCGACACTGATGTTGCTGAATATATATTTACTGCCAAGCCTCAGATTGATTTATTGGTGAAACATCTCTGCAAAGATCTGACTAATTCATGCACTAAGAAACCACCTCCAGTCCCCAAGGTAGCTGTACTCATGTTTGACAGTATTCGGTGATCTCATAATCGTTTCTATATAGCTTTTTCTTGATGGACCATTTTGATAGATCTATCTCAGTGTGTTCGTTTTGTCATCTTCAAATACATGATTGTGCAGGTCCTTGATATATGTTAATAGAAAATTTATCGGACATAAAATATTCTTGAGCCATCTTTAGTGATTCTGTAGAAAGTATTTGAAAAGGCTTGGTAGCTTTGACATAGCTGTGTACTGCTATGGTAATTGTACTACGTCAACTCTGATTGGAAATGACATGTTTTTGCTAATGTTTTGATAGCAATAAGTCTTTGCTTGTTACACATTCAACTTTATGTGAACAAAGCCTCGCGCCTCTCTCATTATGTTGAACAGTTTCCAGTACATATAGCTTGTTAAGTATCTATGGCTTTCCCCAGATTGAAGCTCAACCATTAAAATTTAGAATTGGATTAACAAGTCTCTACGTCTATGAATGTCAATAACATGAAAGCACATCAGAGGAAAATGCTTTAGTGGGTGTCAGAAAATGAAATTTGGTGCCACTAATTTGTCTTGTGTTCTCAAAACTCAGAACCAATTTATATCTGCAAGTCAAGGAAACATAAATGGATTTGGAATTCAGAAGTTCTAGAACCTGTAATTTTATACTTAATGGAGTTCTTAGGGGAAAAAAAAGGAAAAACAATAATCTCCCTACTGAATCCTAACCATGTTTCACAGCAAAGCATTTATTCTGGATAGAATGATGTCTCTGAATTAGCTGCTTTTTTGTTCTTTCTATTCCATCATACTTATGTCTAAGGCTTTAGCCATTAATTTTGCCAAATCTATTACTTATATAAAGTGTGAAAACTATATACTCATTCCTCAAGTCATTTGTTTTGTTGGACATTGTTATAGGTTATTCCTTTGTGTGTTTGCTTCTCCATTAAATTCAGTGAGAAACAAGAGAGTGAATCACAGCACTTGTTCTCTAGTTTGAAAACATAACGACAGAAGTACTTTTTTAAGCAGTGTTCTTTTTTTCCTCTACACTCAAATGTTCTGCTTCTAAATGTTCTGCACTTGGTCACATGTTGGGAAAGATTATTTCCCTCGAGTTTTTATAATGTAGTAAAATCCATGGTTATCTTTCCTGGGAGCAGAACTACTCATGACTTCACAAGCCTTACTACTTTTTTTTGCACATTCCATTTCAGAACAAAAGACTCAAGTTTAATCCTTGTTAAACTCTCTTTTCATGTATTTCAGAACAGGATGCCTGGGGAACCATTTTTGCCTAAACCATCTAAAGAGGTTGAAATGGAGAAGATTATGAGATCTATGGAGGTAATTATTTTCTACTTGCTTAAAACTCTGCATGTATGTGGTTATATGTTGATTTGGGTCTATAATTTGTTTCCCTCTGCTTTAGGGTATGCCCGGAGCTCCTGGCATGAAAATGTATTCAAGGGAAGAGTTAATGGGAATGAACAATTTTGGAAATGATGATGCTGATGATGAGGATGATGAGGACGAGGATGAAAAGTTCCCCTCAAATATGGTAATTGGCAAATTTCAGAGCTCATCGATACTTCTCTTCAATGCTTTGTTGTTTCACTTGCCTTGCTGCAACTAATTTTTGCAGGGAAAAGCTTTGAGAGAAACGCAGCACATAAAGGGTGGCTGGCAACAGAAAATCTCCAAAGGAATAGAAAATAGTGGCGAGACATTGAAGAGGCATGCAAATAAGGTCTTCAACCAGATACAGAAGTGGTGGAGAGGAATACGTGGAGCGCCTGCAAAGAAGAATTCAAGGGCTGCCAAATCAGAGCTTTAGGACCCAGTAAATGGGGCTCTAATGCAATGAAACAGAGCCAAAATTGACTGGGAGCTTTAGGTCCCTTGAATGGCATTACTGCAGAGACACATCAAGGTCCATGCACATCTTTTGTTCGCTATAGTAAACAATAGTCTTTTTAGGTTTTACAATTCAGACACCAGAAAATTTGAGCCTGTAGGAACTGACTGGAATATAAACCTGGTCTTGAAATTTTTGCTCTTTATTAGAGGCACACATTTTCGTCAATGCAATCTGATAATGGTTTTTATCTGGGAATGAATTGACTCTCTAGGGATTCTGTGCTTACAAAGCTAGAGATCATTCAACAGGATGATCATATGAAGGTACTTAGTTCTGATCATAGGAGGTCCAATCAAGCACTGCATCTGTTATTGTGAATCTGCTGATATTAATAATGGCATTCATGAAAAGAAGTGACGGTATTCTTAAATAAAACGTAGGAGGCACTTGAACGAAACAAAATAAAAGCCGAGGTAATGGAAGGATATTGTTTGCATAGCTTGGAGGCATATGAATAAAGCAAAGGGATAAAACCCAAGCTGAATAAGCTGAAGCCAACCATCAATAAGAGAATCATCACGTTAATGTTACAGCTGCAGTTCAATTTACCGAAAATAAAGATTTTGGAAATCAAAAATTGAAAATTCTACTATTTCGATCCCCCTTTGAGTTGCCTAAAGGGAAAAGAATAAAATTACAAACAAGTGTCATATCATGTAAACCAAACATTCCAAAATGAGTGGAATACGAGTTTGTTTCGAAATAGATTCTGCTAATAGGAAGCAGTTCAAGCATCAACCTCTGCCCAATAACACTTCAATCTGAAGAACCATTCATGCAACTCATCGCATTCTATAGTGTTGTGTTCTTGAGGCCACACAACGTCGACCATTCAATGAATATTTGATCATTATATCAATGTCACGAGGATTCTTCTTGTTTGGAGCCACAGTCATGCTCCCACTTAGTGCCTCCCCTTGGCAAATGGTCAGCACATCTTCGAGGTATAAGACTGTTTGCTTCCAATGTGTAGCTCGTGATCTTGGCCCTGCATCATATTCCAAGTTCATCAGAAAGGCTATCTAGGCATTTCACTGGACTGTTAAAATGTACCCTAACTAGCCTCCTCCCCTACACATAGGAACAATCTGAAAACTGGTTTTCAGATTGAGAAGGTTAAATGGCAGGTTGTGATTTTTGATTTCCATGTTTACTTATGTTTATTTTATGATAGTACTTTGCTGAGAACACTCTCTCAGACTCTTAAAAGCAGTACTCCTGCCTCACGGTCGGAGTTAACTACTTTCCAGTTTAGCAACTATGATATCATCAGAACATCACCATAGTAATCAGATCATGGACTTATTGTGGCTTATTTACATGTGACATAATCAAATTCATGGAAAGGAACATTTGTAAGCAAGCCCAAAAAAAGGGCTTCCCTTGACCCACTGAATTCGCTGTATGGAGTAAAACAAAACTTCATACTGGAAGATAAAGAAAAATACAAACAGAGAGTGCAAAGTAAAGAAAGCTTGACCTGTAGAGAATCCCATCAACTTGTGACATTTTGTAAATGATACATCAAAGTAGGCTACTAATGCATGGATGTAATCATCACGTTCTGCTATGAGCTTAAAAGGAGCTGTGAAGGAAGTATCTCCAGAAGCCATTTTAGAGATGTCCATTGTCTGAAATGATGAATAGCAAAAAAAAAAAAAAGAAAAAAAGAAAAACACCATCGGCCCAGAAGCAAAGCAAACAGTTACAAAAAGCAAACTGGAGAAATGTGCATGACCATAAACGAAAACACACAAATGCACTGCATGCATGTTCATGCATATCCAACCTTGAGCAGCTGGCAATTTGTAACAATTTGATTCTGATCAACAGTGTCGACAAGAGGTTCCCCCATGGCCTGCTTCTTGATGCATGTCATATCAAAGCCGTAGACATTATTCCAAACTGGAACAAGCATGCAAGCCAAGGCAACAAAACAGATATAAGAACTTATAAAATGCCACCCCAATAAAGCATTTAGAGTTGGAAAACAAATTCAAATAGCACATGAAACCCAACATGCAACTGATGTGATGAAATTCCCCACAGCTTCCTACTATCGGAGTCTAGCTGCGCTGCCAAATTCCAAACATATGGTGGACCCACAATAAAATGATTGTCATCTACATACATGAGACAGATCAATAGACTTACACTCAATCTTATCTTCTTTGTACTCAGCATCCTCAATGGCTGTCAAATAGAGAGAAGCTTTGTCTGGCAGCACAATTCCATCATTGACCTGGAACCAAGCAAACAATAGAATAAAGGCTGACAGTATTTATTTAGCAAAATTTTTCAGCATCGCTAATGATAATCCCATGGTGTATAATAACAGCTAAAACAAGAACTTTCAATTACTAAGCCAGTATAGTTGTTCAGACTCATGAATGACCTAAATGTTGGTTGGCATGTTTTCCCCTTCCTTCCAAGGGTCCATGCACCCAGTTGACCTAGAGCAAAAGAGCATAGAGAGTAGAGACTCTTGTTTCTGTGAATATTAAAATACCAGCAAACACCAGTGCTATGTTTGCCAATTGGCTTGAATATGATGGCTTTCTTGGATTCCTGTAGCATTCATGTGTCTCCAGTTTCTGAAACTTATAGATTGACTTTGACTGGTTAGTTGGTTATGCCTGTTTGATTTTTCTCTCTAGGTATAAACATTTATCAAAGAAATATATATAAACCCAGAAAGAGAAATGTAATTGCAACTTACAAGCCATTTATCACGTGTGTACAGGACCGTGTTTAACATGTTCTCAAACAACAGAAAATATCCCATCCACTCTGAAATAATTATGTCCACTTTAGCAACTGGTAGCTCAATATCTTCAATCTTTCCCTTCAAAACTGTTATAACTGTTACATTGAAACACGAGTAAGCAGTGATACTTGGCATTTGAGGCAGTGCAAAGAGATAGAAAATTACTGGAACATATCAAGAAAATAGCAGTACCATTGGAAAATCCATTTGATTCAACAATCTCTTTTGCCATGTTAGCCATGTGAGAGCACTCAACCTGGAAATTGAAACATTGGCAAACCATATTTAGCATCTATAAACTCTGGTTCATAGTTGTGGTATGAGATAGGGGAAAAAGGCATACCGCGTAAACGTGGGCAGCCCCAGCTTTAGCACAAAATAAGGACAAAATTCCAGTCCCAGCACCAACATCAAGAACTACTTTATCCTTAAACAAAAATTTATTCTGATAAATAACATTTTGGTATGTTTTAGTTCTCACTACATCCTTCAGCATTTCCTGCATTGTAAGGATGAGTAGAAAAACATCAACAGACGGAAGTATCAGCATTGATACACAATCAACTCCACGATTTCTTTCAGAATTCCAGATCTCGACATATAAGAAAACATACAAGAGAAATTGACCTCAACCAAAAATGATGAAATAATATAGATACACAGAGTCAAAACAATAAACCTACGGATACAAGAAGGTAAAGCAATAAAATATAAATTGATAAAATGCAGAGAGAGACTCAAACAAATCAAGTATATCATATAATAACAAGTGCTGATTCAAAAGTGGGTTTTGTGAGGTAAAGTTAAAACAAATGTAGAAGTACTAATTGCGTTACAAATGAAGAGAAAGACTCAGAAATAAATCAAGTATATCACAAACCTCACGTGTAAGAAGATCAAAACCAACACCCAACAAATAAATAAATAATAAAACAGAACCATCAAGTTACAGCCCAGTAAAGAGCTGAATTGTATCCAATAACGAGACACTTACTTCATGAATACCTGCAAAAAAACACGAATACAGAAGGTTAAGACAAATACAAAAACTTTCTACGCCAAAGTATCCATTCATTAGATGTCTAAAACATCCTTCTAAGACAACTGAAACATAGGATGCTATTACCAAAGATAAGAGAGAGAGAAGATATAAAATAAATAAATAAAGTCAAGCGAATCAAGGAGAGTAGTGTTACCAAAGTGAGAGTAAGAATCGAAGTAATAATCGGCGCTGGTTTTATCATCATCGCCGCCGTCAACAAAGGAGACGTCGGGTTCGGACATAGTTACGTCATCAACAGCAATGGCTTTTTCAGTGGCTACAATAGAGTCATCGAGATTGGAGCTGTCTTCGTCGTCGTCGTCGTCGTTAAAGCGGATTTTGGTGGCCTGGTGCTGAATGTTGTTGAAGCTCATTGAGGTCTGATTGTTCTTTCGGCGGCCCATTTTATTTTTTCTTTTCTTTTTGCTTTTACGGTTTTGCTTGTTAGTTAAGCAGGGGCGGGAGGGAGTGAAAGAATTTTTTTAGGGTTTTTGATGCGTTGTAATCATGGAAGGAATTTATTAGGGTTTAGGGAACTTTTGTTCGGGAGCTTGTGAAAGTATAGTGATACTGTCCCTCTTATTTCGCTTTTCGGTCTTTCCTTATTTTTATTGTCTGTTTCCAGTAAAATATTGTAAGCAAAATGGTCCAAACTTCCCATCTGTATTTAAGAATCAGTATTTCAATTTTCAATTTTGGATTGATCTAGTTTTCCATTTTAAATTGGATGATTGACCTTCTGTTGGTTTTCTATTTGAATTGATTATGTTCGTTCGGATAATCTCAAATTTTTACCATGCATTATGGTTGGTAGATAATATCTAAGGTTTGAGTTAGAGAGGGGTTGACTGCAAGTGATTTTACTGTTGCATGTGCATTTCACGTCCATTTAGTTGTTAGAGAAATTTGAAAAGTAAAACACCTACGCTTGCACCGTTAGTTTTGGAAATAATAATAATAATAATAATTAAGAAAATTGAAAAATAATTAGAATCTAAATTTGAAAGTTAAGAGACTTATCTAACATTAATTAAAGTTTAGGATCAAATATTTTCTCAATATTTACCCAAAAAAATTAGTCAATGTCAAACTTGTATAATCAACTTCATTTTCAGCTCATAAAATTTCATAACATATCTTACCACAAGTGATTTATTTACAACATCATTCAACAATTTCAACCAACTCGCCCACTACTACTTACAAATATTATCGCCACCCACCAACCTATGACATCATCTCATTACAATAAAATCTCATCATCATTCTACTATTGTTAAAATATACATATGCAAGATGTGTGTAAGAAGAAGACGTATGTATAAAAATGCATGGGATACAATACGGAGTTAAAGGAGTAGAGTTTGTTATAACTAATTATGCACGACACCTATTGGTTACAATGATTGTACCACACACAATCCTAAAGGATTGTAACTTGTCAACTAATTCAAAAAGCTAGAAGAATGAATCTACCTCGGGACTCGGAGTAGCCAATGATTGGCATACAAGAAATAGCAAAGTTAGGAATTCTATTTTTCTATTTTTGTAAAGCACTTAGAATATTCACTACTAGCATATATATTTGATAGTAGTGAAATGTAAACAACTATGATTTTGAATCATCAATGAGAATAATCTTTTTTCCTTTTCTATGTTTTAACATGATATCAAAGCTAATCTTTCTCTCGCTAAAACTGCGAAAATTTTCTATTCATCCCTATAACCCTAAATACGAAAGAAAACTTAAGAAACAACACAACCACCATTGATGTCACAAACCCACTTTCACGTTCATGCCTCTAATACACCGAATCCGGTGTTAGTTCCAAAAGAACTAGAGCTTAAAGGCATGGAGAACTATGATGTATGATCCGAGCTATGAAGATCTCCTCGAAGCAAAGAACAAATATGATTTTATTGATGGAACTTATGAAAAACCGGATCCAACCTCACTCGGGTAAGATGTAATGCTATAGTGTTTGCTTAGCTTTTGAATACCGTATCACAAGAAATCTATAACGCCATGGGCTACTACAAATCTGCAAAGATGGTGTGGAAATATCTCAAAGAGAGATTTGACAAAGTCGATGACCCTCATATGTTTGCTATCCACGGAGAAATCTCACACATAATGCAAGGTATAATGTTTATGTCAACATACTACTCAAAGCTCGGAAAACTATGGGATGAATTTGAAACCTTAGTGACATTTTCAACATGTGGTTGTCCAAGCTCAAAGTTATATCTAGAGCACACACAACACCTTAAAATGTCATAGTTTTTAATCGGATTGAATAAAAGCTATGCAAATGTGAGATCACAAATCCTTATGATGATGTCATTACCCATGCACACTCGAAGCTTTTTCTATATAAAGCGAGTGAAGAATCTCAAAGGGTTATCTCCAATAATGTTTAAGTTAATGAGACACCAATAAGCTTTTATTCCAACAATCAATTCAAAAATGAGAATGTGAAAAGAAAAAAACCATTACTTATGACTACCGTCACATGACGGAACATTTGAAGAAAGATTGCTATAAAGCGATAGGCTATCCAAGCATAACAAGAAGAGGCTCGGGAAAAAGAGGAAGACAACCATATTGTAAAAAGCAATAGAGGGAAAAATTATCAAACAAACCAGTTAAGCTACGGAATGGTAGAACATGGTAACTTGGATTCAAATAAGGGAGATCAAGCAAGCTAAACAATGGGAAGTGCACCGATCCTTACACAAAACCAATATAATCGGATTATGTAGTTACTTGGAGTAGAATCGACACTAGGAAAGGCTCGATATCAAGCCAACCTTTAATAAATGTTGCGAGTACTTTACTCGATTATGCAAATACAATGAATGATTGTTTGAGAAGAAATTGGATGATTAACAATAGAGCTAATAAACATATATCCTCCGAAATAGATAGTAATGCATTAATTTCGACGTTGCTTCAAAACATCTAGAGTTCTAATTCTCAAATGGTAAATCATCTCAAGTGACACACATAAGCACTATACATTTATCCCCCGACTTTAAGTTAACTAATGTGCTACACATACTTGATATTAAATTCAACCTATTATCCATTTCAATATTTACCAAAGAGAACCAATTCTTTATAGCATTTTATTGTGAGTTTGCTTATTTCGAACCTTAAGACTCGGGTTGATAAAAGGGATTAGTAGGATGCAAAATGTATTATATTACCTCAAGTTAGAAACACTTTCACATGATCATTCATCTTTAGTCTTTAAGTCTCAACAAAATAATGATTCTCATATTTTTTTCTTCTCATGTCAAGCCAGTTTCCAAATCTATCAATTATAATGTTTTTCAATCAAGTTCGTAATGGAATCTCTAAATTAATGAAAAGCAATATTTGGCACATGAGATTTGGACATGCTAGCAACATAAGACTCAATTTTTTACCAAGTTTAAAAGATATAAGTAAGCATGAAGAAACACATTGCACTATCTCGTCCATTAGCCAAATTAATAAGATTGCATTTTATCACAAAACCAATTAAAACCAAGAGCACATTTGAATTGCTACACCTTAACATTTGGGTACCCTATAGAATACCTTCATAAAATGGAGCCAAATACTTCCTCATGATAGTTGATGATTACTCAAGGAGGAACATGGGCATTCTTACTAAATTTCAAAAGTGATGCCAACACCACTATTAGAAATTTTTTCCACCTTATCAAAATTCGGTTTGCCAAACCCATCAAGAGAATTAGAATAGATAAAGTAAGAGACTTTTTAAACCATGAATGCAAATAATTTTTGGAAGAACAAAGAGTTATTCATGAGATTATCATACCCTATACACCATAACAAAATAGAAGAGTAAAAAGGAAATACAAACACATATTTAATGTTGGTAGAACTCTTGTGTTTCAATCCAATGTGCTAATAGAATTCGGGGAGCTTGTGTTTTAACGGCTACATATATGATAAATAGAGTTCTTACTCCACTCTTGAGCTACAAAACTCTTTATAAAGTTATTTTTGGGAAAGTACCTAGATAGATCATTTGAGAATGTTTGGCACTCTTTATTATGTCAAACCTTAAATAGCATTGACAAATTTAATCCAAGATCAAAATCATTCATATTTGTTGGATATCATTTTAGACAACCAAGTTATAAAGTCTATGACATAGAGACAAAGAAATGTTTTTATGTCTAGAGATATATTATTTCATGAAAACATGTTTTCTTCTAAGTTGAAAACAAAAGATTCTATTCAAAATCAAAACTACTTCAATGATTTTATGTTTGATGAAGTAGTTCAAGTCTCAAATCTCCAAACCATATCTTTTGATATCATTCCGCAAACACCGGTTATTCAATCATCAAACAACTTTTTTCAACTCTGAAACACAAGAGTCTTCATCATATTCGAACAAATTATGTCATCTTTTGAACATGAACTAGAAAATGAAATGACTCTTAGAAGATCTACTAGGATAATTCAACCACTAGTTTGGCCAAATAACTATCAATGTCCTATAATCCCTAGAAACAACTCGATCAAGACAAGAAAGAAAACCAGTTATCCCATCATAAATTATATCATTTATGAGCACTTGACACCCACATACAAAGCATTTATATAAACCTCAATCAATGTTACGGAACCAGAATATTACCATAAGACTAAAAGTGATCCTAAATAGGTTGAAGCTATATAAGAAGAAATGTAGGCACTTAAACTTAATAGGACTTGGGTTTTAGTAACGTTGCTAATGGGGAAAAAAAAACCAATAGGGTGCAAGTGGCTATACAAAGTAAAGTGTAATTTAGATGAAAACATTGAATGGTACAAGGCAAGGCTTGTTGCCAAGAGATACACTCAAAAGGAGGGAATTGATTACAATGAGCCATTTTCACCAGTTGCCAAGATGATAACAATGAGGTTTGTGATTACTTTAGTTGCTATCAAAGGTTAGAGATTGATGCAAATGGATGTGACAAATGCATATGTACAAAGAGACTTAAATAAAAAGGTATATATGATAATTTCGGAAGGTTTTGAAGTTAAAGGAGAGTAGAAAGTATGCAAGTTACTCAAGTCATTACACGACTTAAAATAATCCAACAAAGGAACACCAAATTCCGTGAGGCTATGTTACAATCACGATTCAATCAATTACTTAATGATTATTCTTTCTTTATGAAGAAAAATGGTGATAAAATAGTTATGTTGCTTATGTATGTAGATGATATAGTCATCTACAAGAAATGACAATGAAGAAATAACAACCTAAAGAATTTTTTGCATATAAAATTTCACATAAAAGATCTTGGTGACTTGAGATACTTCTTAGGGATAGAGATATCAAGATCAAAGGAAGAAATATGATTAACACAAAGGAAATGTATCTTAAAAGTA